GTCCTGCAATGCCTCCGTAAACTTCCCAATGTTCCGAAACTCTCATCGCACTGTATGCAGTTGTATGGCTTCTTGCCAGTGTGCTTCCTTGTATGATCTTTTAATTTCGAAGGAGTAGGAAGAATTTTACCGCAGTACCTGCATGTGTGCAAGCGTTTTCCACTGCGAGTTCTGTTTTGGTTGTAACCAGCATATTCAGTGCTTTCGCTTGCTGTAGCCGATGTCGCCCAATGTTCATCCGGAAGTGGCTGGTGGCTATCAGTGCAGTTGGCTGCATCGTCTAGTGTCTGATTCTTCAGTTTGATTGGGCTCGCAAGCTGCAAAATGGTTCAGAAGCAATCGACTATTTTATCAAAGCCAAATAATAAAATAAACGTTTATTCGATCTACCCGCCTTTTCTCAAAAATGATTTTGCAATTCAAATCTTTTGGCAAAGGTATTTATCGTATGCTAATTCATACTTTCCTTATTTCCCAATTTATTTCCTTCTTAGTCTGCGGGCATGCTACAGTGAGCGGGGCTGAGAGGGAGTATCACCGCTGCCGCACTGAAGGTCGAGATTTTGTTTCCATCGGTGAGACCATTATTGTCCACTATTATTATTATTATTGTTATTTCTTCTACTTGTCACTCTTCAAGCACCCTTTTTTCTATTTTTAGGTTTTGGACATCCTTTTTCTTTAACAGCTTATCTATCCTAAGGAAGAATTGCGACAAATTTCAAAATTGGGATGCACCCTCTTCCTTACAATCGAGATCACCGACTTTTTTCAAATTTTTTCATTTTTACTGTGCTATATATGTGTAAACCGGAACTGGCAGAAAGCGGGTTCGGTGAACTAATGTATTTCCGGCACTAGATATTCTCGAAACACTCACGCTTCCGCAGAATGTGCGGAGAAATTAGAGTGAAAGAATAGAAATTTCCTCCAACAACCACTGAAAAGACGAATACTGTATGAATAACATGGAGGCCGTAGTCTGAGAGGGAGAGTAAAGATTCACTTTGGGCGAGTTGCAAAAGCAAGTGCAAAAGGAGCAAATTTTGTGTAAAGGGTATTATGCTTGAAAAAGGACAAGAACCAAGTGGAAAGGTTCATAAGCTGCAGTTTGGGGAAATAGATTTCGCCGGAAACCAATCTGTAGCAAAAGATAGGCAAAATAACTCGGTCAGATCCGACAAATGCTAATGCTCTAACAAGGAAATCTTTATTCAAATAAAGTGGAAAAATTACCGAGCCTTTGGCAACCATTGACATCATTTGCATCAGCGCGATGGACATCGTAACCACTGTCATCTTGAAGGAGCAGCATCGAGTTACCCAATAAGCTCGACCACGCTTCGCATCTTTGGCCAAAGTTTTTTCGATTCCAACCACACCAGTAGCACGCCGTTTCCCCAGCACCTCCATTCACAGACAGAGGACAAAGCAAGGACCTTCTAGACTTGCCAGGAGGTACACCTTTTATACACAGCAAAACCAATATCAGGGGATTATGCTTCCCCATCATATAATGTGATTCAGTAGCGATGGTGGCATAATCTGACTGCTACGCGAAGAGAAACGTAGCTGGCAAGAGCGAATTCAGAGGAGAGAGAGAGAGAGGAGAGGATACATACTGACGAAAAATCCAACTTTTTTGATTGAACCAGCATTTTCAATATATCATCACATTCCCGTACAGGACTGGAAAGGTGGTTTGAGCGTGCAGAGTAGCAGACGACAAGTCTCATTTACATCTATGGAGAGAACATTCCTCACTGTAAGCGCTTCCCGTTGGTTTCCCGTTGGATGAAGGAAATGACGCATGAATCTAAAGCCAAAATTCAGACATACTCCTAAGCGTAAACGCTCCTGTTGATTCCGACATGGCCTAATCCCTATTCTCTGCTCTATGCTAATTAGGTTTCCCCGCGAGCTTCGGTTGAAGGCAAACGTAAAATCACACATATTAATCCTGATATATATTAAAAACGAATAAATATAAAATATAATGGAATACATGTATAAAATATAGGGGATATATTATATGTATGTAAAATTATACTGAAAGACTTGACTCCCTTTACTGTGTTATGGAATGGAAAGTTGGGAGGAAGGTGCATCATGGTCTGCAATGGAAAATATTACAACGAAGTCATCAAGAAGGAGCTGTCACTGTTGCACCAGTATTAGATACTATTACACATACATCAAATTACATGCTCTTTTTTTGCAAAAATAACCCAGGCAAGAAGCGCATAGACCTGCAATAAATGCATTTTTTTGCTAAATTTAAAGCAGTCAGATCGTTAACAGCTGCTTTACAGTTTAACATGTGCACTCATATTGGTGATGTTTTGCTCTTTTATTGCAATCAGAGAAAACAGCGTCTGCTGGGACGGTAATATTGCATCGCGGGGCCGCGCGAAATCTTAACCCAGCACGTATGATTCACCGTAAATTTTGCATAAAGGTGTTGCTAGTAAGACGTACCCTCAAGTTTGCCGTATCCATACATGAAAATTAGTTATGAAAGCTGGATTTATGTTTTCAGTGAGCTGAATTTCACACGCACAATCTTATCCGACTGTTAACATTAAATGGAGGATCTATCCAGAAGAACATCCAGAAGGGGAACTACGTAAAAACGGGAAACTCTGAGCCGAGAACGGAAATTTTGACAGCAATTGTATCGCTGATCAGGCGCAGAGTACAACAACAAAGTGACAATTATCTGAGGTAGAAAAATAAAGTTTCAAAACAAAAACTAAAAAGTTAAAATTCGCGAAAAAACTGTCTAGAAAAGTTGCACTTAAAATAAGTTCAAAATAAAATCACTGCAAAAATGAGTAACAAGCGAATATCTGAAAAATTAAATAACAGATCACGTTTTGTTCCTCAGACAGATACTGCAGCATCGGTCACTCTGTCAGTGGTCAAGAAAACTTCGACAAAAAAATTTTGCTAGTGAACCGAATTATTCTGCAAACTCAACAACAGACTGCGAAACTCCACTTTCAACTGCAACACGAAGATCGATATTATCATACTCATCATTTTCATCATCCAACTCATCCATTTCTTCGGCCGGCCGCTTTCGATTTGCTGAAATTCTCGGGCTACTTCTGAACGCTTTTCTCGGGCTACTTTTGAACGCTTTTTGGTTCTCACAGAGAGCGAATACGTCGA